TTGCCGTGCAACCTCAAAAGAACAAGCCGGAACTCGTATCAATTGTACGTCAAGTGTCGAAGCGGGTTCCCGAGGATCAAGCCACCAGGATCATCAACGAAGGTGTGGACGCTTTAAAATTGTGTAGGCCTCCATGCCGCAGTTTGCCTCTCAAACGCGTGGAAACTTACTTGACACAGCATGCTCTGAGTGTACTTCCAGTCGATAAAGAAGGAGGGTTTGCGGTTTTCTCGCATGATGAATTTAAAGAAAAGGCTAAAAGTGCTATTACGGCAGTGTTCAGCGAAAAGAAAAGTATTTCGATTGAAAAAGTGAGGGGAAAAGCAATAGAACTTTGTAAGAGGATGAATCTAGAAGGTGTGCTTAGCGGTATCAGAAAAAGTAAAAATGACAGTCTGGATGTGTTCTTTAGTGCTAAAACGCATAAGGAAGGAGTACCGTTCAGAGTGATAGTGTCGGAGAAGGACACGTGGCAAAAAGCTGTAGCTGTGTATCTGCAAAGAACATTAAACTTGCTTGACATAAATGACCCCTTCCTGACAAAAAATTCGGAACAGGTGATAAGTTTCGTCAGGGAACGAAAAAACATAGGGTTAAAAGCGTTTTCGGCTGACATAAAAGATCTGTACTATTCTCTGCCACAATCAGCAGTATTAACAAGTGTTGGCGAATGCATCGATGAGTACGGTGCCGTTAGATTTAGCTCACAAGCAGGTACGTCCGTCGACAATTTCTTAGAATTACTTAGGTTTTACTTGTCGTCAACGTTTATTGAAAACAATGGTACCCTGTATCTGCAAAAACAAGGAGTATGCATTGGCTCGTGCTTAGCACCAGTTTTAAGTAATTTGTTTTTGGCTGAAATGGACAGGAGGCTATCAGGACGCCTAAATGAATACAATGTTGTGCACGTATTTAGGTACGTCGATGACTTTTTAGTGTTTATCAATGACAGAACTGCAGATTTTGCTACTCAATGTAGTAGCGTGTGTAGCGTTTTTCGTGAGGGGCTTAACCCACTTGAAGTGACTTTTGAAATGCCATGTGACGGAAGGCTCAGATTTCTTGACATTAACTTTCAATTCTCAGATGAAAAGACATGCTGGTGTTACGAGCCCAGAGCAAGTAAGCCTTTACTACAGTTTCACTCAGCGCATACTAAACTGGTAAAACGAGGCATTGCGAAGATGTGCTTGAGTGAGGCACTAAAGAAGTCCTGCCGGTGCCTCATGAATGAAAGCTTCAGACAACAGGTCTCGAGGCTAAGCAATGCCGGGTACCCCAAGAGCCTCGTCGTGTCCGTTGCTGAAGGATTGCACAGAAAAGTGCTGGAGAAAAGATGTGAAGGGATGGATAGGGTGAGCTCAAGAAAGGAAAGTTTTGCCGTAATTCCATACATGCATAAGGTTTCTCACAGGATAAAAAAGATTGCGGAAAAATGTGGCACTAACGTAGTTTTCTCGGCACCCAATAAGTTGGTGAGTCTTTGCAGAAGCACAAGACCAGACAAGGGAAAATCAAATGTATGCCAAAAGAAACATAGAAACCTATTTGTGGAGTGCATCATGTGTGTTGTATACCTCATTCCACTTACTTGTGGAAAGTGTTATATCGGTCAGACCAGTAGATGCATAAACGATCGCTTGCGCGAGCACAATAACAAAGTAAATAGTGTTGTTCCTGATGGTTTTCTTTCCCTTCATTGCCAGAGATGTAATTGCACACCGAAATTCAAGGAAACGGTTATAATCAATAGAAGTAGGCACGAGATGACGCGGTTGGTATTGGAGGCCGGCAGAATTGCAGAGCTAGGTGACACGTGTGTGAGCAGCCCATCAGTGGTGTTGACAGATAAGGAACTTGATTACATGTATTCGCGATAGGGTTTGTGGTAACATGGGATAAAAGGAAGAAAGAAAAAGTAGAAAAAGATTGAAAAATATAAAATTGTAAAGTATTGGAACACGCGCGTTGGTTATATTTGATGGTTTTTAGAGCTACGCACGTGCGACGTTGGCGTGGTGGATCGCATACACCACGGAGATCTGCGTGTAATAAACTGTTGTTGAAAGTTAGCGCTGTGTTGTGTCTATGTGCCTTCTCTTGTCCGTGTTCGTTGTCTGCGCTACCATCCATCATCATGCAACCATACCAACAAGCCCAAATCGCCACCCTCATTGACTTCATTTCTCGTTCAACGGGCTCTTTCGTTCATGTACTGCGAGATCCTTCGGGTGTTGTAGCCCTCATCGTCAACGCCGTGTGCAAGGCAAGAACGCTCAGCTTTTCCATAAGGAACAAGATTCTACCAGAGGATGTTCGAGCGCTCTTCGGAGGGTGTACCCCTTCAGATGGGCACAGAACGAGGATCATGAAAATTCAGCGCTCAGAATGGCTTCGACAGGTACGCCTTTTCAGAGCCTACCTACGGGCGCAGATGCATCGAACTTACGAGTCATATGCAGCGGAGATTCACTTTCGAAAGCATCTACGTCTGGCAGACCAAATGATAGAATTCCACTGGAAGCTTCAATTACGACTGTTACGTGATTTGGTGGACAAAGTGCGCGTGAGTGCAACCTCCAACGTTCATGTGGCAGAAGGCATCTGCCTACCGGACTTTGTACTAGAAGTATTGGGACTTGGGCCAAAGTTTGCCGTGCAACCTCAAAAGAACAAGCCGGAACTCGTATCAATTGTACGTCAAGTGTCGAAGCGGGTTCCCGAGGATCAAGCCACCAGGATCATCAACGAAGGTGTGGACGCTTTAAAATTGTGTAGGCCTCCATGCCGCAGTTTGCCTCTCAAACGCGTGGAAACTTACTTGACACAGCATGCTCTGAGTGTACTTCCAGTCGATAAAGAAGGAGGGTTTGCGGTTTTCTCGCATGATGAATTTAAAGAAAAGGCTAAAAGTGCTATTACGGCAGTGTGCAGCGAAAAGAAAAGTATTTCGATTGAAAAAGTGAGGGGAAAAGCAATAGAACTTTGTAAGAGGATGAATCTAGAAGGTGTGCTTAGCGGTATCAGAAAAAGTAAAAATGACAGTCTGGATGTGTTCTTTAGTGCTAAAACGCATAAGGAAGGAGTACCGTTCAGAGTGATAGTGTCGGAGAAGGACACGTGGCAAAAAGCTGTAGCTGTGTATCTGCAAAGAACATTAAACTTGCTTGACATAAATGACCCCTTCCTGACAAAAAATTCGGAACAGGTGATAAGTTTCGTCAGGGAACGAAAAAACATAGGGTTAAAAGCGTTTTCGGCTGACATAAAAGATCTGTACTATTCTCTGCCACAATCAGCAGTATTAACAAGTGTTGGCGAATGCATCGATGAGTACGGTGCCGTTAGATTTAGCTCACAAGCAGGTACGTCCGTCGACAATTTCTTAGAATTACTTAGGTTTTACTTGTCGTCAACGTTTATTGAAAACAATGGTACCCTGTATCTGCAAAAACAAGGAGTATGCATTGGCTCGTGCTTAGCACCAGTTTTAAGTAATTTGTTTTTGGCTGAAATGGACAGGAGGCTATCAGGACGCCTAAATGAATACAATGTTGTGCACGTATTTAGGTACGTCGATGACTTTTTAGTGTTTATCAATGACAGAACTGCAGATTTTGCTACTCAATGTAGTAGCGTGTGTAGCGTTTTTCGTGAGGGGCTTAACCCACTTGAAGTGACTTTTGAAATGCCATGTGACGGAAGGCTCAGATTTCTTGACATTAACTTTCAATTCTCAGATGAAAAGACATGCTGGTGTTACGAGCCCAGAGCAAGTAAGCCTTTACTACAGTTTCACTCAGCGCATACTAAACTGGTAAAACGAGGCATTGCGAAGATGTGCTTGAGTGAGGCACTAAAGAAGTCCTGCCGGTGCCTCATGAATGAAAGCTTCAGACAACAGGTCTCGAGGCTAAGCAATGCCGGGTACCCCAAGAGCCTCGTCGTGTCCGTTGCTGAAGGATTGCACAGAAAAGTGCTGGAGAAAAGATGTGAAGGGATGGATAGGGTGAGCTCAAGAAAGGAAAGTTTTGCCGTAATTCCATACATGCATAAGGTTTCTCACAGGATAAAAAAGATTGCGGAAAAATGTGGCACTAACGTAGTTTTCTCGGCACCCAATAAGTTGGTGAGTCTTTGCAGAAGCACAAGACCAGACAAGGGAAAATCAAATGTATGCCAAAAGAAACATAGAAACCTATTTGTGGAGTGCATCATGTGTGTTGTATACCTCATTCCACTTACTTGTGGAAAGTGTTATATCGGTCAGACCAGTAGATGCATAAACGATCGCTTGCGCGAGCACAATAACAAAGTAAATAGTGTTGTTCCTGATGGTTTTCTTTCCCTTCATTGCCAGAGATGTAATTGCACACCGAAATTCAAGGAAACGGTTATAATCAATAGAAGTAGGCACGAGATGACGCGGTTGGTATTGGAGGCCGGCAGAATTGCAGAGCTAGGTGACACGTGTGTGAGCAGCCCATCAGTGGTGTTGACAGATAAGGAACTTGATTACATGTATTCGCGATAGGGTTTGTGGTAACATGGGATAAAAGGAAGAAAGAAAAAGTAGAAAAAGATTGAAAAATATAAAATTGTAAAGTATTGGAACACGCGCGTTGGTTATATTTGATGGTTTTTAGAGCTACGCACGTGCGACGTTGGCGTGGTGGATCGCATACACCACGGAGATCTGCGTGTAATAAACTGTTGTTGAAAGTTAGCGCTGTGTTGTGTCTATGTGCCTTCTCTTGTCCGTGTTCGTTGTCTGCGCTACCATCCATCATCATGCAACCATACCAACAAGCCCAAATCGCCACCCTCATTGCCTTACAGCAATTCTTTTGTCTCAATCCTCTTCTAGGTCATCACTTTGCACACTTTCTGTCATGTCTTACCACCTTAGCGAACGCGGATAGCATCCGCAAATTGTTGTATGTGTAACAATCGGTGGTAATTAGGTTACAGGTGGCAAGGTTAACGAAGCAACTCACTGTGGGAATCCTAGCTTCTTCCGCGAACCGCCGGAAGTCTTCGATGCATCGTTCCTCGTTGTCCTGGGACTTGGGATCATACTCGAGGCTGTATCAAAGAGGGGGAAGAGAAAGGAGACACGCGATGTTAGAATCGATGACATTCAGGGTAGTTGCTTGTTGGGAGGGTTCGTTCACTTTTCCGTTCGAAAATAGACACCAAAATTGCGGAAATGAGAGAAAAAAAGTGTGATCTGGGCCACTGCTATCGAACAACTGAATTTCATTATCGCAAACACCCTCCTCCTAGTCCGTACAGCACGTGCGCAAAAGTACTCTAACCAAAACTCTGTAATCGTCTTATCTATGCACATCACGGTTGATCAAAGCATTTAATCTTGGTCAGAAACACATAAGGAGCACTTCCAAATTTTTTTTCAAGTTTTTAAATGTGATATTCTTCAAATTTTTCTTTCATGCGGCGTCTTAGCATTACCGACAACGGATGCATTCTTAAACAAGAAAGTGCAACCACCCTGTTTGCAATGTAGCGGCAAGATACCGTCAGTGCAAGATGATAAGATATTCGCACATTCATGCAACCGGATATTAACGCACTGCACAGTCTGATGTATTCCTTATCACAAGTAAGCGGAATACTGTACACGACACGTGTTTCATATGCTGTATGCCATTGCACGAGGTACTCGGCTGCTGACCCGCAGGTCGCGGGTTCGAATCCCGGCTGCGGCGGCTGCATATCCGATGGAGGCGGAAATGATGTAGGCCCGTGTGCTCAGATTTGGGTGCACGTTAAAGAACCCCAGGTGGTCGAAATTTCCGGAGCCCACCACTACGGCGTCTCTCATAGTCATATGGTGGTTTTGGGACGTTAAACCCAACATATCAATCAATCAATCAATCAATCAATCAATCAATCAATCAATGCCATTGCATGTTTATTATCGCATGATACCTATAGCGCGTCTGTGCTGGGAGACCCTCTTAAACAATCCTGTAATTCTGCAGCCTGCAGAACATATCCATCTTATATCCTTTTTGGCAGCCATCCTTTTCAATCCGTGTGAAATACCACGCCATAACCAAAACATTTTTTCTTGTTTAGTTCGGAAGACCGCAATTACTTCAGTGTTTCAATGTCAAGCGCTTAAGCAAAGATGCACTCACAGTGGTGACCGCAGGCATAGGGCAGCCTTCCGCTAACAACTTATCTGCTGGCTGGTAATACTGTCTTGCTTTGATAGGTGCAGCTTTCTCGCACGACATTTCACAAGCATAAATAACTCTATCATCAAGGTTGGAATGGGAGAATCAGCAGGGTAATATTGTCTTAGTTCTTGCAACGTAGATCCAGCAACTGCGACCATTAGTATATAAAGTACGGTGCAGCATCGCGGTTTCTGCGAAAGACGCATCGGCAGCGTCCAGGGGCACCAGGGGCTAAGACAAAGGGACAACGCAGCGAAGGACGCCGAAGGTTCGTGTGCTAGGCATCGTTTAGTCCACGGAAACGATCCTCCCGAACAGACATATGCAGCTTCGCTCCGAGGCAGCAGCTGTCTCAGAGCGACATGAGACAGCAGCTATGGTGCTGCTGTCTCAAGTACCACAGGTGTATCATGTACCATATGTACCATGTATCATGTACCATAGGTCTGCCAGTACCTATGTTACATGAGGCATGGTACACCTATGGCACATGAGACAGCACCATCATGTACCATGTTTCATGTACCATAGCCAGCAACTATGGTGGTTGAATTCACATGTATGGTCTGGCGATGATGGACTTCACTCACTACTGGAAAAACAGCGCCAGTGCCACGGCCCTTGGGTTGCTCAGGTGGTCGGCGTACTCGGCCCACAGTTCTGCCATGTGGTTCAGGTGGTCGAGGTTGTGGTGATGCCGCGAAGGCTCGCCATACCGCTGCCGTATCAGGCGCCACCAGGAGTCGCGCGTGGCCTCACTACAGCCACTGCCCTCACCCCCATCGCCAGTCGTCACTCTCACCCACAGTTCGCGAGCACGACACTTATCATCGCTTTCGCTGGCCATCACCGGTAGCTCATTCGGTCATCGCGCAGGGCGGCCGCCAACTTCACTCTCAGAGATTCTGCAGAAATTGAAAGAATGAATGTCAGTAAGGCGCAGCTTTGCTTTCACGCCCTACACAACGCAGTAATGTGTTTGTTCGGGTGGCAAAGTCTTTTTTTTCCCACTAGTCGTAAGTCTACTTCCTGAGATATAGTGGTATACCGAGGCATCAACGGACTAAATCTTTATATGTACTTGAATCACACTTACTTCGAACATACAATGCATGCGAGCCACACTCTACAGGTTATAATATAGGCTTGGTAGGAATCCACATTTGTAAATGTGTATAGAAGTTGACGATATTTGGGCGATATACGAAAGGAGTAGAAATGAGTTTTTTTTTAGAAGACCATGGTTCTTGCCCGAGTAAGGTTGGATGCCGTTTGTTTGTTGCAACTAACGATATAGTTGGAGCGCGCGTTAATTTAACTAGTAAATTTCTGTGTCACTTCTGCCACACTGGCGAGTCGAATACATTCATATGAACCCGCCGCGGTGGTCAAGTGGCTAAGGCGCTTGGCCGCTGACCCGCAGGTCGCGGGGCAGAATCACGGCCTCGGCGGCCACATTTTCGATTGAGGCAAACATGCTTGAGGCCCGTGTGTTTCTATAGTTTAAATGCACGTTAAAGAACGCCAGGTGGCTGAAATTTCCGGAGCCATCCACTACGGCGTCTCTCATAATCATCTGGCGGGTTCAAGACGTTAAACCCCAACAAGGAGTTAATTAGCACATTCATTTGGAAGCTTCGCTTTCACCAAGCTTATGTCGTGACTACGCTCTCGCACGCTCCCATAAATTCGTTGTCGTATGATTATCTCGGCCATGAACTATTGCGTGAGATATCTCCCGTACCTTGCGAGTGTGAAATCGCATCTTCTGTTCGAAAGTTATAATAATTTCGTTTGCGCGGAAGCTGCGATTTTAAACTCGAAAGGCAATAAACTATTCTTGGCCCTCACCACTCGTGGCGTTGTACCTGTCGTTAAAAAGGTCCATTAATATAAATACGCGTAGAAGCCATAACTGTAGATTGATACGCGAGTACAACGCACAGGTGTGGGGTTTACCTGAAATATCTGTGGCGCGTTGGAGAAACAATGAATTGATTGCAAAATATACTATGGCATTAGGTCACTATGGTCCGAAATATTTGAGCCATTAAATGTTTTCCGGTCAACAAATCGTTTGTATGCACGTCTTAGTCTTTCTCGAGCCGGTGCACCTACGATAATATAGCTCAACATTTAGGCACAAATGCATGCGGGGCCGGGTAAATAAATTATAATCTATTATCGCAGTATTAGGCCACTTAAGCATTTCTTCTGATTATCTTAAACCTAAATGAAACCCCCGATAGGTATATAATGTAGGGTAATGAAGATGTTTACAACAGAGAACAGCCCCACGACACCACAGAAGATGGACGCATAAACAGCGACAGGACAGATAAGACACAACGCGTCAACGACCACAGCAAGCACTGTTGAACCGCTGATAATGGGACACGCCTGGGATTTTCTTCCACGAAAAGCCTTTATGAACAACATTACCGTAGAAACATAGAGAGAAGCTTTAGACGCTTTCAAATGAAAGGTGTGAAGTTAATTGATTTGTGGGGTTTAACGTCCCAAAACCACCATATGATTATGAGAGACGCCGTAGTGGAGGGCTCCGGAAATTTCGACCACCTGGGGTTCTTTAACGTGCACCCAAATCTGAGCACACGGGCCTCGACATTTCCGCCTCCATCGGAAATGCAGCCGCCGCAGCCGGGATTTGAACCCGCGACCTGCGGGTCAGCAGCCGAGTACCTTAGCCACTAGACCACCGTGGCGGGGCTGTCGTCAATGGGTTCAGCTGCCCAAAGAAAACACAAATACATTAGCCAGACATGGCAATCCACGCAAGCTGCAGCTTGAGCAATTTTACTTTTTTTCTAAAACACAGCATTACCTAAGAACTAAAGCATTACATTTTAATATCTCGTATCGCACTATAGGACACAGCTTGCATTATGACAATATATATTTTTTTAACCAAGGTGAAATTTCACAGATTTCGCCGAACATGCCGCGCTATTTCGCCGGGTCAACAAGGGCGTTCCAGTTACTTCCATTCTTTAATGCACAAAATGACGGTTCGATAAAAAACAAAAACAAATATCACTTGAAAAATGGCGCATTCTTGCCGAATGTATTAAGGCGCGTATCTCCAAACCCGCAACGTCCTCGGAGCCTGGCTTGCGTTGCCGACTCTCAGTGCATTTCTTGAAGTGCACGTATCGGAATGCCGCTGTCCTTAGCATCCGAAATGTGCCTGTTTATACTCATTGTGCGGCATTCATCGTGTGTTATCATTGCCTCCGTCGTGGACAATCTGCCTCCTTGGTATGATAGATTACCCGAGAAAAAAAAAAAGACTTGCAACCAAAACAATCGCGCAGGATATTTGACTTCATTTCAATCCTGCCCACCATGGAAAGCGCAAAGTTAATAGTATAGCGAAGGTAACCCGGCTTGCTTTCTAACGATAGTTATAGCGCGAGAACAAAACGACGACACAGAGACAAGAAGGACACGAAAGACACGTCACGGTCGTCGTTTTGTTCTCGCGCTTTAACTATCGTCATGCCATACCAACTAGCCCAAGCTGCCACACTTCTAAGTTGCTTTTTAACCGTTCAAACGGTCACTGACGCCTCAAGCAGAACCAAGTCGTGCTGTCATATGCTTTGCCTTTATCGCTTCTCTATTAAACAAGGCCAACAACAATTTGTATTGAAAAACTGTGTCTAAGTGTGTGAGTGTTCTTCGGCGTGCCTTTGTGTAGTTGTATGCTTGTTCACGACGGAAACTATTATGCGAGAGGACATTAATTAGCGACAACTTCGCCTCGTATACATTTAGTTTTCATTAAAAATGCGCCATGTATGGTAAGCACACAAAGAGCGAAAACCGAAACATCATACAGGGCAGGGAACACAATGGCAAAGTACTTCGAAATTGTCAGTCAATATTTCCTACGCGCCGAAATGTTTCTTTCTTTTCTTCTTTCTTGCACGCAATACAGCATTAAGAACAAAGCAAAAAATCTCCGAATCGAAATATGACTCGAGCGCAAACAAAGTATAGAAGTAAGTATACTAGAAAAGTATATATATATATATATATATATATATATATATATATATATATATATATATATATATATATATATATATATATATATATATATATATCTTCAATAACAAGCCCGCCTCGCCTCATAGCTCCTGCTTCTCACAAAGCCGCGAACGCACCGCTAAGGCCACAGGCATACCGATTCCACGACGAGTCTCATATTGCTCCCAATCGCTACCGCGTAATGGGTGGCACAAGCCATATTCCCGGCATAGTTTTACATGCCTCGAACGAAATAAGCGACGCATAGATCGATAAAACTGACACATCACCACTCGGCGACTTGTTCCATATCTATTTCGATGCGCGCTCAGTGTCGTCTCGACTCGATCACCCTGTTTGCGCTCGCGTCACCGGATCTCTAGGGCTTTCCCGCTACGCGCCTCCTCGCTCCACAGACTGCGGAGGTTTGCATAGGCGAGCGAACAATCCCCGCCCACCACCTGGCCACCTCGTCTGCTTCATCAGTGAAATAAAAAGTAGAGTACGGACAATTTCGTTATCACATTACGATCGATGCGAATACAATGCGGACGCTGTAAAAGCGGACTGCGAACCTAGGCCAATATTGTATTACACGAAAAAAAAAAAAAAACGCTTACAACAATTTAGACAGAAGGCACCCTTCCTAGTACGAGTACTACGGCAACTGTAGCCACATCTAGCTGTCACTTTCCCGTAACTGGCAGGTACAGACATAGCACATCGTTCGGCTATGATTAGCCTGTGCAAAGGAGGGTTAGTAATGGGCGATTAAAAGCAGTAGTCGAACCAATGTGTTTGCAATGCTCGCGATATCGGCCCATGTTTTTCGTGAATATAAAATATAGTCCAATCTCCGCACGGTAAACGAGTGGAAGAGACCTAGGAAGGCATTTCCCCGAAAAACAATAACCATAAATCGTACAGGAATACTCGCGTGAAAGCGTGCGGTCTGCTTCAACAGGGCGGTAGAGGCTGCAAGATTACTGCCCGTAATCCCAGCTGTCAACGCGCGCTTTGATTCACAATGGTTCTTGTATTTTTCTCTTACCTTTCCGCTAGATCCGTTTATCTAATCGGTGCTCGAATACTGCTTACGAGTTCTTCGCGTCCCTGCGAAGGGCGGTCCCAGATAACGGTGCTGTTGGATTCCCACTCACTCGGGGCTGGCTCGCTTGCACAGTGGCGCCGTGTAGTCGTTGTTGGGTACGCTCGATGCTTGCTTTGGGGCTCTATCACTGGCCGACTCGCCGGCAGCGTCGAGTAGTTCGCCACCTCGCGGCCCCAACGGGCAACCGCTGGTCAGGACTTCGATCGGGAATCGAAGAGCGTGAAGGAGGAGGATGTTGTGAGAAGTAGCTTCACGCAAGTCGCGGTTGCCAGACGCGTTGGCTCGCATTAGGATATTAGGTCCGTTCGATTCGCCTACACCACGTGAACCAGTTCACGGGGTGCTGCACTTTGCCATTCGTTTCAGAGGTGCAACATTGACGACCTCTTAACCCTTCCATTCGTTTCAAAAGGTGCAGAAGAGATGCAGCATTGGTTCATGATTTTCGTGCACCTCCTACGCTGATGGTGCCGGCTTGGTGCAGCCGCGCGTGAAGCTGAGCAGACGACACAGCACTTAGGCGTAGGCGCCGCACCCGCCTCTACTAACGCGGTGTGTTTTGCCAAGATGTTTGCGCCTCATGAACTGTCCACAGTGCGGTTCGCCATCGTTCAGTGTTCACTGAACGGTGTAAATTAAGCAAACAGAAATAAGTCCTGCACCTTGTTGGCACATTGTCATTCGTTTCGGGGGTCGCGCTGTGCCTGCACCGCTGAACTCGCGCTGCACAATTTCTGAACT